ACCCGCCCACAGCACTCCCTTCATCATCCGTATCGACCAGCCCGCCATGCCCGCCCTCGTCACCAATCACAATGACCGTCTGCCTCACCCATCCTGACAGGTCAGATACGATCTCGCCGTCTCGTCCACAAAGCGATTCCTGGATGTACACGACTTCGGGCGCGAGTGAGCGGAGGATGTGTTTATGGCCCGAGGGCGAGGTGTAGGGCAGGATCATGGTGTCTCGATCGACGATGGAGATGGCTTGGTTGTAGAGCGTTTTGAAGAGGCTGCTGGACTCGTCGATGGGGCGGGGGTCGACTTGGTTGAGGATGCCGTCACTGCCGGGGAAGTCTCCTGGTGTGACGGCCGGGGTGTGGGCATCTGTTTGGGAGATGTTTGAGAAGGAGGAGGCCATTGATTGAGAGGGGCGGGACTGTGAGGGAGGGGAAGAGCTGCTGAGTGGGTGGGCTTTTAGGTCTGGGGCATAGATGAGGACGAAGATGCGGGTTGTTTCTGGATTGATGTATTCCGGAAGGTGCGAGAGGATAGACTGTGATATGTCAGCATTGTAAGAAGTGAGCTGGGATACTCGGCACTTACTGCATGGTCTCCAACATCGCCGTCAGCGTCTCCCACCGCGGAGACAACAACAGCCACGGTCTTCCGCTTCCGATTCACAATTGACGCAGACCTCGGTAGTTCAACACTTCCAGAAAAGAACTCATCGGCCGTGCCACGTCGCTTGATTCCTTGCTTGATCTGGCGATCGTTATCCCGATGATCAGCTTCCTCGCTCCACCGCTCATGATCCTCATAGCCCTCTCCGCCTCCTCCGCTCAAGGTGCTGATTGCAGCACCGACCACTGCGCCCGCCGCGGCTGTTGCGGAAGCAAACGGCTTGTTTGTCCAGTCGTACGATTGGGTCTGATTCTGAGTCTGGCTTACTGAGCGATCACCGGATGGTGTGGTCGATCGACCGAATCCCAGTGCGCTTGACATACGAGCGACCAGGCCAGTCTCTTGCTGCGAGTCCACCGCCGTAGAGCGGGCTGTAGAACGCCATTCTTCTTCTGTGCCTCTATATCCCGGAGGCGGAGGACCACCTTGGAATCCACCAGGCGAAGGACCACCAGGAAACCCGCCCGAGGGAGGTGGTCCCTGAAAGCCACCTGGCGGAGGAGGTCCTTGGAATCCACCACCAAACCCTCCGGGCTGCTGCGGACCAGGCAGAAAATCACCCTGCGGCCCTCCTGAAGGACCTTGAAACCCACCACCTGACGGAGGAGGTCCAGAGGGTAGAGCACCACTCATACTTGCATACCCCGCCGCAGTCGCACCTCCTTGTCCCTGGTAATGCTCATCTTCACTCGAGCCGTATTCATCATCCCTCCTTTCACCCCATACCCATGCAGCAAGTCCGATTGTTGCAGCCGTGACCGTGAGAGCGAGGGGCAACCAGTACCCGAATGTTGTGCGCGAGCCCGAGTAGCCGTAGCCACCTGAGCTGGTGGTTTTCCGTTTTCGCTCGGTCACCGTGTAGGAGTAGGACATGGTCGCGGGTGAATGTCAGACAGGGAGGAAGTCAAGGGAGCATCGAAGAGTAGTCGCAATGCTTGCGACTTGGAACGACGGTGTTGTCTTCAGCTGCTCGTCTTTTGTTTACTTCTCCGCAGCCGAGGCTCGTGTGGGTTGGCACTATGTTGAAGCAATCTGAGTAAATGCGAGAGATTGATCGCATGAGTTACTTCTCGTATCGTATGAACCGTAAGCTGGCAGAGAAAGTACACGAGTGCAGGGCGAGAGGGATGGTGGTTGAGCTGAATCCGTGTGGCTGGGTTGATGATGTTCGAGTTCCCAGCCTCGACCGACCGACTTCCCCACACATCTCACATGCCTGCGGCGTGACGAACCAGGTGTCTATTCTTCGCGAACCAATGGTAGAATGCTCAGAACATCTTTGATGTTCTGAGATACATATTTGATAACACTCCGTCGATAAATCAACATGAGCGACTCAAAACCTCGCCGACGAAGACCGAAACCCTCAAACTCACCGTCGAAATCCATCACGACTACGGCCGACGGCGATCTCGAAGACACCAACTCACGGATAATCTCTCCGCTCGATATCCTGCGTGTCCTGCTCACTCTAATATTCGCGTCTGGTCTCTTGTCATACTACCTCACGAGCGGCAAGTCTCTCCTCTTCAACTACAATCCATGGTTCCTGAACGCCTCGAAACTCTCACACTGGTGGAGCGGTCCTCTTCTGCTTACACCCGCGCAATTGGCACTATATAACGGGACTGATCCCTCTCAACCAATATACTTGGCAATCAACAACACAATATTCGACGTCACCGCTGGAAAACATACCTATGGCCCGGGAGGGAGTTACGAAGTCTTTGCGGGACGAGATGCTACAAGAGCTTTTGTGACAGGCTGCTTTCAGGAAGATCGGACTGGAGATTTGAGGGGCGTGGAATGGATATACATTCCCATTGAGGACGATCCAGATGAGGAAATCTCAAGCTCAGCAAGGAAACTTCGTGCGGAGAAGGAACGCAGAGAAGCGAAGAAGAAGGTCTTCCAAGAAGTGAATAAGTGGGAAGAATTCTACAAGAACCATAAGAAATACTTCGAAGTAGGGAAATTGGTAGGCGTGGATACGTACACCGGTGAGGCACCACCCCTGTGTGAGCCGGCAGAGAAGGGACGGCCGAAGAGGAAGAATGTAAATGCAAAGAAGAACAAGAAGAAGGATGCGCCTGGGAAGCCTGTGCAGTAGTCCACAAGTCATGCATGATTGAATGACTGAAATTTGAGTCCATGGATGCATCGCAAATGTGTTCCATTCCCTTCAGTGCATCTCGACATCTTGCACAGTCGACTTGACTTCCTGAAATTGTCTCAAGGCGTACGTGAGGATGGTGCTGGATGTTGGATTCTCTCTAGCTGATTCCTGCGCCACCCCTGTGTCTTTCCATCTGCGTCGGGATGCTTGCTGCCGGCCTGGATCACATCAGACTCCGCCCGATCGCCGGCATTTTGGTTGTCATAATTCCACGCAGGCCATTCTTGTGTTCATGTCGCAATAGCGCCACCCGTGATCTTCCATGCTCTCTAGTCGCCACCAGCAGCCGCTCTCGTGTAGATGCTCCCTGTGCTGTGTGCCACGACCTTTCGGATCACGCCTCGTTCCTCTAGATCTGCGAGGGCCTTTCGTGCCAATGAGCCATTGATCTTCAGTCTGTCCACGAGGACTGCGGTTGTGATGAGGCGGTAAGACTGGACGTCCTTGTTGAGTTTATCAGAAGTGGCCTTGTCGAGAACGACGGCGTGGTTGGCCTTGTCCTTGACTGTTGAGGGAGAGAAAAGTGTCAGCGGACGTCTGTAGGATCCTCGCCAGAACGATAGGATGGTTTTGTTGAAGTGGTCATGTGGAATTCAATTAAAACATACCCTTTCCCTTGGACCACTTCTTCTTCTGCTTCTTGCCGCCGGATGATGCTGCGGGAGCCTAGGATATGTCAACGATGGCTTCTGCGTAGTTGCTTTTGATGCGCTCACCATATTGACGGTATTGTTGGGTTGATGTTGGATACAGGAAGAGGTGAGGTGCAACTGAAGGTCCAAGGCCGGTGAAATCTAACGCCCCGCACGACTGTGGGCTTGGCAGTCACCCTCACCAAAAAATTCGTGGTTTACGAATGCACAAAATTACGAGCATGAGACAGATTTTATTGCATGGTAGTGTTATCTGCTCGCTGTCTTTCTAGTGCCGGAAGACTATGGTCTGAATTCAAGACTTTTGGGGTATCTAGTTGCCCTCGTTCATGCCATCATTTCATGCTGAGATTCCACAAGCCGCCCGAATCTAGTAGAAGAACCCAATGATCTTACCAGCAACGTGCTTGCGTCTTGCCTCCTCATGATCCATGATGCCAGCACTGGTCGTCAAGACGATGTAACCGAACTGACGGGAAGGCAACAGCTTGACGACCCACTTCTCGAGATCTCGGAGTTGGACGTTGTAGCGAGGAGAGATGACACCGGTCTTGTTGAGGCGTCCGTTGAGCTGGATGACGACTTTGCCGCTCCGGTGGTCGTCGACTTCCTCGAATTCGCCGATGTAGCCTGTGAAGATCCTGTCAGTCAGAAGTCCTGGCTAAAATGTCTGAGATGTTGCGACCGAATAAACATAAAGCAACCATGGGAAGAAGAAAGCATATGTGTAAGATCGATAGCAAGTACAAATGTTCAATCTGTCGGGTACTTAAAGGGCAAAGGTCGTAGAAGCAAATATTGAAACCGCCGCCTAGTTATCAACCCGACAATCCTCAAGTGTGACAGTTCCTCCTCTTCCGCAAGACAACAAGTTTGTGGGCTGTGAACGTACCGTGCTTCTGCATGACAGACAAGAACTTGATGATGACTTTTGAGCTGGGTCGGATCAGGACCTGACGCTTGCCAGCCTTCTCGGCGTTGTTGATGGACTTGAGCGCATCGTTGAGGACGGAGGTTTTCACCATGTTGGCGGTGTTTGTGGAGGAGTAAGATTCTCAAGTTCGAGTGAAAATCGGGGAACTTGAGGTATCTGCAGTCGAAAAGTTAGTCTCCAGTAGCCTCGAGCATGGAAGAGTGCCCAATGAAGGGTTCTTCAGCTCGTGTCGCAAAAGATGAGCGTATCCTCGAATTGCGCTACGACCGGAAATTTTACAGACTGGACGCAGGCAATCGGGATTGCTCATCTTAGGCTTGCTGAAGTGGACTGAGTCACTGACATACCTCAAGGTAGTTATTGGTGTTGACGATGAAGATTGTCGTTGTTGTACGTGAGGAGGGAAAGATCAGTTCGTGCATGAAACTGCAGTCTGGATCTCGCAAGTGCGCTGCCAAGAATCGGCTAAGCTTCGGCGATGCAGCCCCACCGATTGGTCACGGGGTAGTAAACGAGGGGATATAGATTTGTATGCAAAAATTTAGCTAACAATCAGCTCGTTGAGCGGTGTTCAGACTCCCCGATGGTGTAATGGTTAACATCACCGGTTTTCATTAGAAAATCACAAGTGAGAGATCACCCGGTAGCTCCGGGTTCAATTCCCGGTCGAGGAAGACTACTTTTTGGCTCTTGTGGGAAGATACTGCTGTTCTCTCTGCTAGAACAAGACGTCTTGTGCAGGACAAAGAGTACCTTTTTGGGTCGCTAAGCCAAAACGGTCTGCTTGAATACTGAATACCAGGTACATAGGTATGTTAGAAAACTCAGCTTCGCTACATGCCGTGGCCTGCCCAGATGATAATGTGTTCAATGTTCTTCTATCGAAAGACTCGTTCTCGCAAATTTTGAGTTTAGAATCTGCTGAGGAGGACGAAGCCGTGCTTCGAGGGAGCAATCTGCCGCACACATAAACTGTGGCCCATGAGCATTGACGATCAAGAGCACATCTGTACGCTGGCGTCCATCCTTGCAATTTCTGCGAAGCCATCGACATTCCTCGGCGTTATGTCGTGGCAGTCGTCCAACCTGACAAGATCGAATGATATGTTTTCGGCAGCGTCCTTCGCTCGCTTTGTAAGTGCGGACTCAAACTCTATGCAGCTCAGGGGAGGCGCAGGTCCCGCCCGACATTTAGAAGAGATTTTTCTTCGGCGGATAGTCAGACCAACCCAGTATCTGAACACAGAGAGGATAGCTTAGGTGACGTCAAGCCATCAGTGGGGGAGATTGGTATGTTGTAGTCGAAACGAAGACTGGGGATGCTCAGATGTCTGGGTTGATTATGATGGTGAAAACGAAGAGCACAAGGAGCAGCTAGTGAGTTCTTTAGCGAGTAAGCCTCTAACACTTGCTGTGGCAAGATGACACCTACTAGCATCGTGAGCGGAATGAAGACCAGCACAACTCTCCCGCTAGTGATAATCTGTGCCCTTAGTGCCATGGCATTCTGACAAGCGAAGAACCTCCACGTCCCAGCAAGCGCAACAGCTATGGCAATGAAGAGTGTCACAGTTGCAACCGGAATACCGAGATCGTAGTCACTTAGTTGGTTCGGTGAGATATTGTGCTTCAATCTGTAAAGCTGCAGCAAGGCGACGGCAAGATTGGCGAGCGCTGAAGCGGTTCTGATGTACGCAAGAAAGACTCGTTCGTTTGCAAGATGGTCGCGGGCGGCGTTCAAAGGCACATAATGAATGTGCAGTGGACGAGTTTTGCCAGTCCACCAGCGACGTCGAGCACTGGAATCCTTGTCCTGAATAGTTGGTATGGGCGCTGCGACGGTCGTAGTTGTTACAGTTGGCTGAGTTCCAACTCTCTCAAGCTCATACTCTCCATTCAGCTGGCAGCTTTGATCTTTCGAATTTCTGGAATTGTCCTGGGCATGTCGCATGCCTCCTAGCTGCAATCGCAAAGATCATATTGGCAAAATAATTATTGTAAAGGAAAGCATGCTTGTCAAAAATTACGGACTTCTCAGCCAAGCAGGGGTGCGAAGAATGACGCTACTGGTGATACACTGTGATCCGCCGTAGGTTCCACGAGGCTCCGAGCCCGTGGAGCAGAATACTTCAGGAACTCAAGGTGGTCAAGAATTCGCAGTCTAGCTTTCAACTCGCGATGTTCGAGTCATGTGAATATCTTAGTGAAGACACATGGCCTCCAGAGGGCGGAGCTCCCGACGTACGACCCTTCTCCAGACGTCGTGGCAGTGGTGCAACCGACATGGTCTTTCCATGCGATGACTGTGTCCCGATCGAGACATAAAGTCACCTAGCGAGAAGGAGACATCAGTGGACGCTGACACGGCAATAAGTCTTCATTGTTCAGAGCAAAGGTCCAAGAAACGCGACATTTGCTGCTGTTCAATTTGGAGGTGTAAGCCGCTCACTTGCCCAAATGCGGCCGGCAGGTCAAGCATAAGCCTGCAACATATGGGTATAGCAGCTAGGAGCAGTCCGTGCAATGGCTGGTTGAACACAGAGTCGAAAGGAGGGATTGCCATGCGGACCCTCCGAGCTGAAGTAGGGGCTTCCGGAGGTATCTTGAGCAGTATGATCGCCTGTGGCTGTGGCCATGACCATGAGAGACCAAATGAATCAGCCTGAGAGAACAGCTTTGCTTGCGACATACATTGCTGGGAGTAGCGATTGAGCATATGCTTGTGACTCAGGCATGAGCTGGAAGACGCGGGCAGGGTTTTGTGTTGTGTGGTCTCAGTGTGGAAATACCTTCCACTGCCTGACCTGCACGGTGAAGTCCTGGAGGATTATTTTCCTGCAACAACAACATTAGCCTGACGAAATGCAGCTCAGCATCGCACACAGTCCCTCTGCTCGCACAGATCGATGTTCAAGCCAACTCTTTGTTCGAGCGCTGCTTAATGAGCATCCTCAATCTCAGCAGAATTCTTCCTCGAGCAACGGCCGTCTGATCCAGTCATGTCTCTACCAATATCCCCACAGGCCAGCTCCCCATCCGAGCGAGTTCGAGAGAATCAAGCGCAGCATCATCCTTCTGAATATCGAGCTCTCCAGCAGAGCGACCGACAAACCGCCCTATCATTCGATCGTCTCCCCTCGACAAGCGATCGCATGCTGGCTCAAAGCGCGGCTCACCGTCCACCCTGCCCCAACCTCGAAGAAGAAATCTGCCCAAGAGCCGACCTCGCACATGGTGTCTATTTTTGCGAGGCTACTTCCAAATACAGCTTCTCTGGACACATTGACCGTCAAAACTGCATGCAAGAGGAGGAGATCACCGACTTCGTCCTTTACAGCCATCCAGAGCTGTACAAGAAGTTGGGCAACATGACAATCGAGAGCAGTCACCTCAGCTTTGACGAGAGAGGCGCCTCCAGCGATACGGACTGCAGCGAATTGCATTGCGACATCTCGGCCGAGACATCGAGTATGCTTGTCGGTGCCGAGCAGGGCCCAGCCTCGCCTGCCAACGAAGCCGAGTCAACGGATACTGACTGCCCCAACGAACCTGATGATGACATGCCACAGGCACGAGAGCACTTCTCTGGTAGGCATGCAATCCGCCCGCACCAGTGCGATGACTAACAGGACTTAGAGATCAATCCCCAGCTGCCGACTTACCTTCATTGCCAACCAGGCATGGTGTTTCTCTGCGGGGCGACGTCTTGCGGGCTCCGCGGAAATGTCATCCCTGTGGGCAGTTGCTTCACGATGGTCAACGGGGCATATTATTGTGTCGACTGTGCCCGCTACTTGTGAGGGTGGTCAAGGCCTGGGAGTTGTGCTGTCGTTAGAGACATTGCTTGGTCCGTCCTTGGATGCCAGGGGCACGAATTGTCAGGAAAGTCAATGTGTCATTGTTTTTTGAGATAGACAGAAGAAGAGGGCGTGTCATCGTGAGAACAAACAGAGATGCGCTGCTATTCCCAATAGCGTTAGCGTAATTGTGACTGCTTGTATATCCACGCCGCCGTAGTTTTGATTTTTGAATCTCCAAATCCTTGTGGCCTGGACAGTCTCTTTCCACAACCTAACCATTCCATCCATGTCGTCAGAACTATTTGAATACACGACCTACTGCTCACTACCAAAGTCCACTAGGACTCAAAGATCTAGCCAATTGTAGACGTCTACAGACACTACGACTGCAAGGGTTTGCACACGCACAACCCTGCTCCGTTTCCGACTCTGACCACATCCAAGTGATTCTGCTCCTCCCTGCGAGCCTACGCTTTTGCGAGCACATCACCAACCACTACTCAAAATGTCAGGGCTCGATGTTGAGGCTCTCCTCGATTCCACCGCCGCCAACGATGTCAGAGACTCTCCCCGCGGAAGCGAAGACCGCCATCGCAGTGATCGCTCGGATCGCCGCGAAAAAGACAAGCGCCGTGATGGCTCCCGGGACCGCGATAGGGATCGCAAGAGACGAGATCGAAGCCGAGAACACCGTCGGGACCGCGATGAGGAGATGAAGAGCCCGAGAAGCGAACATGGCAGCGCTAACGGCAGCCACAGAAGCAGCAGGAGACGAAGCCGCAGCCGTGATCGTGACGACGAGAGACGACGGTCGAAGCGGGATGAGGACCACCATCGTAGGCGCAGCCGATCTCCGGGAGACGATCGCTATTACCGACCGAACGGGAGATCCAAGCGTGATGATGAAGACCACGATCGCCGCGATCGGGACAGAGACCGAGAAAGACGTCGCTCGGCAAGTCCCAAGAAGCGTGTCAAGAGCAAGACTCCCGAGCCACAACTTACTGAGGATGAGCGTGACAGGAGAACCGTCTTCGTCCAGCAACTTGCCGCCCGTCTGCGCACGAAAGAGCTCATCCAGTTCTTCGAGAAGGTTGGTCCCGTCAATGAGGCCCAGATCGTCAAAGATCGAGTCAGTGGCCGCTCCAAAGGGTGAATCATCCGCTCTTCAACGGGGTAATATAATGCTAATATCCCTACAGTGTGGGCTACGTCGAATTTAAGAATGAAGAATCAGTCCAACTCGCCATTCAGATGACCGGACAGAAGCTCCTCGGCATTCCTATCATTGCACAGCTCACTGAAGCAGAAAAGAACCGCCAGGCCAGGAATCCCGAGGCTCAAACCGGCAACCACAACTCGATACCTTTCCACCGACTATATGTTGGAAACATTCACTTCAGCATCACTGAACAAGATCTGCAGAATGTATTCGAACCTTTTGGAGAGCTCGAGTTTGTTCAGCTTCAGAAGGAGGAGGGTGGACGCAGTCGAGGTTATGGTTTCGTGCAGTAAGTACTCGTTGCAACCCTGCCACTATAGTCTTTGCTAATCGATATAGGTTCCGTGATCCGAACCAAGCTCGTGAGGCCCTTGAGAAGATGAATGGTTTTGACCTTGCAGGCCGCCCCATCCGAGTCGGACTCGGCAACGACAAGTTTACTCCCGAATCCACCGCCAATCTCATGCAACGCTTCCAACCTGACCGTCAAGGCGGCAGCTTTCAGGGTTCCTCGTTCTCCGGCGCTGGTGGTCGTGGCGCTCATGCGGGCGGCTCTGGAGGCACCTTTGACCGTGCAGGCGGCCGTGACAACGATAAAGGGACCGGCGGCGCGAGCGCGCTTGACGACACGGATGTTGCGGGTGTGAACTTC